CCAGCTCCTCGGGCCGTGCACGCCGAGGTCCAGCCGCGGGGCCCTCTCCGCGCCGCGCTGGCTAACGGGGAAAAGTTTGTTTTCCGAATTCTGAAAGAAGCTCGCGCGGCCCCAGGACAGCTAAGGATTCCCGGAAAATGGGAGCCCGACCTCCCTCGCGGTGGAAGTGAAATGAATCCAGTTCTCTCTCCCTCATCTGCGTCCTGGTCAAACAAAGAGCGAAGCTTTATTTGCTTTTTTCAAACCTTGAGTTTCACGAAGCCACCTGCTACAGCGAACGAAGACCCTTCAATTGGATGGGAGACACATTACTGGAAAACTGCTTGTGAAACACTCAGGCGTGAAACGTTTCAACAGCAAAACTAAGTCTGGACCCTGTTCTGTGAAACAAATGGACCAAACCTAAAAATAGCATCACTTCCTACTGTCACGGTTTTGTACTTTTAAAATGATCCTTAGCGTTAGCGTTACTTTTTAAAATTTAAAAACAAAAATAGTTTTAAAATGTAAAAATAAAGCCTAAAGAGGGACTGATTTTGAAAACTTTAAAAAAAACTGTCCTTGAAAGCCACATAGATAACTATAGCATGATTTCTTAAATTTTTGTTTTCTTTTCTCTGAATCTCTGAACACTAAATCGGGGCTAAGGCTTGGGACTGGCGTTGGAATGGTGGGATTGAAAAAACAGACCCATTCCTGTAGGTTGTGAAGGGGTGACAGGTACTTGGATGGCAAAATTACTTTATCGGGGTGAACAACTTTAATGTGCAAAGCTGAAGATACGAACCTTTCTTTTTAATTCAGTTTTAGGGCCCCAGAGAGCTTGTGTCTGTGCCAGGGATTGAACCCTGGCACTGAACCCCGGGCCTCCAGCGTGCTAGGCAAGGACTCCAGCAGGGGCTGCATCCCCACCCTGTCCTTTCGCTTTCAAGGCCCCTTTAACGATTACAAGGTAAACAGCACAGTGTTGCGTTTATCTGAGTCAGGACCGGCAAGGTTCTGAGGCTGCGCTGGTTACCTGTAGCTCAGGTGACACTCGGGCAGCTCACCGCCGACAGGTGACCTGGTGTTTCTGCAGCTTCCTTCCCAGGCTCGGGCTGGGAGAATCCTGTAAGGTCTGGTTCCTGTCCTTTCTGCCGAGGTTCCCTGGGTCCAGTCACGTGGCCCTTCGTGTGCCGGCGAAAAGGAATGTGAAAACCTTTTACATAGTAAACACTTAACGCTATCTCTGCCTCCCTGTAGTAAAGGTAAATATAAACAAATTTGACTATTAAAATAGCAAAGAGGTTTGTTCAAACGCATATCCTTATTTACATTTACATTTATGTACATAATTTACACATTCATTTATAAAGAACATTATAACCTTCCTGTCCAAAGAGAGAAAAAAACGAAAATCCTTTTTGTTATTCCCGTGCGACAATTGTTTTGTTTTTTTTTTGTTTTTATTTTTGTTTTTGAGACAGGGTCTCAATATGTAGTTGAGACTGAACTGGAACTCACCATGTAGCCCAGGTTGGTCTCCAACTCACAGCGACCCTCCTGCCTCAGCCTCCAGAGTGCTGGGATTACAGGCATGCACCATCACGCCCTACTCCTGCAAGAAATTCTTGAACCTAATTCCACCTTTCTTCCAAGCTTGCTCTGCATCTTTGGAATAGTAAATCTGGCTCACTACTGTCTTTTTAAACTATTATTTTTATTTTGGAAAAATTTTTAAAACATTCAGGAAGGAGCTGAGCGTGGTGGTGCACGCCTGTAATCCCAGCACTTGGGGAGGCTGAGGCAGGAGGGTCGCTGTGAGTTGGAGACCAGCCTGGGCTACATAGTAAGTTCCAGGTTAGTCTGAACTACATAGTGATACCCTGTCTCAAAACAAACAAACAAACAAACTCAGGGAGGTATTATAAATACCCATTACCCTCATCCAAAATGAACAAATGATGACATGTCTTTTAATGAATAGTGGAGACTAAATGGTTTCACTTTTGGCTTAAATTTATATAACAGCCATGTCAGACCAGGTACTTTTGGGGGGATAGACATCAAGGAAACAAGGAAACACAAGTGTATATTCACAGAAATAACCACTGTGTGCTCATTTTTGTCATTTTCTTTCTAAATTAATGTACCCCCAAATCCTGAGACTCTGCAATGTATTTGTAATCTGAAGGAGAACATTTTCTAAGGTCAAGGCAGGCCGTGGAACCACTGAGCTAAATCCCTGGCCCAAAACTCTGATAGTTTTATGAAGCAGGCGAGTCACAAGTTTGAGACCAGCATGAAGAACTTAGTGACAAAGTGAGACCCTGTTTCAAAATAAAAATAAGAATGGGTGTAGTGGTATGCACCTGTAATCCCAGCACTCGGGGAGGCTGAGGCAGAGGATCCCTGTGAGTTCGAGACCAGCCTGGGCTACATAGTAAGTTCCAGGTCAGTCTCAAGTATATAGTGAGACCCTGTCTCAAAAAACAAAAACAAAACAAAACAAACAAACAAATAAAAATGAAAATGGCTAGGGATGTAGCTCAGTACAAAGGCCCTGGGTTCAATTCCAAATCCCAACAGAAAAAAATAAATATTTGACTCGTTAAAAGTTCTTGGAGCATTCATCTCGAGATTCCACAATCAAATGAACCTCTGTAAGCAGAAGTCATGGGAGGGCCGGGGTTTTAGCTCTGGCACCGAGCCTGCCTCAAAAGTGCAAGGTCCTGAGTTTGATCCTGGTACAAAAAAAAGAAGTCATGGGGCAGATGGAGAGGGGGAGCCAGGAGGAGTAGACATGGCTGCCCAGGTAGCCAGGCTCGGTGTAAAGCGATGACCCGTTTACCTGTTCCTGCTGTTAGTGGCTCAGGACAGACCAACTGTCCCCCCACCCGCCAGCCCTGGTGGCTCACGCTGCTTCTTTGTGAACACACAGGCCCCATTCTTGAACCTATGCTAAAAATGCTCCACAGATTTTGTAACCTTATGTGGGTTTTAAATAAACTGCATCTGAAAAGGCAGAACAAATATTCAAACCACAAAACATACATTGGTGAAACTAGGATTTGAGCCAGTGAGACTTTATGCTCCCAAACATTCTGGTCACCCCTGAGCCACGGAATGCCCTTCATAGAGCCAGGCTGGCCTTGAACGCATGGTGATCCTCCTGCCTCAGCCTTCTGAGGGCGGAGATTACAGGCATGTGCCACCATACCAGCACCTAAGAGTCTTTTACCTTCTCAAATAATGCTTCTCTCACACCAAGCTTTCAGTAATGGAAAACATGCCAAATCTGTTTACCAAAGCATGTGCGCTGGCGTCTTAGCCCCTCTCTGGGAAACTTCATAATGAAGAGCAGACAAGGGCAGGAATGTAGCCCAGTAGTAGAGCACTCGCCTAGCAGGTCAGAGGTCCTGGGTTCAGCCCCAGCTGAGCCAATATTTTAAATAGAATCAAACATCTAAGGAGGTACTTGGTTTTCTAGCAAATATGTTTTGTTTAGTTCGTTTTTTAATGATGCACTTTTGAAAATTGGCAATAAGGGAGCTGAGGATGTAGCTCAGCGGTGCCACGCCTGCCTGGCAAGCGCAAGGTCCCGAGTTCGATCCCCAGTACTGGATAAAAACAATTATGCAAAAAATTAACAATAAGATACACAACAGAACGAGTAAATGAAGAAAAGCCAGACCCCAGGCAAGCTTTCTCCCGACTTAGTCACTACTCTGATGCCCGCCTTAGAAACAAGTCAGCGCCCATGAATGTGCTGAGGAAACGTACAAACCAGAAGTGGTCTCCGTGTGCCACAGGCAGTGAATAAAATATTGGAAAACAGAGCCAGGCGGCTTCCATCTGAGGCTCTTCCCCTCTTACTGACTGTAGAGGTCACACGGAAGCTGGGTTACTTACTCTGAAAGGTGATTGTTAAAAAGGGCAAGATGGGGTCCGGGAATTCAGCTCAGTGGTTCCACCACCTGCCTCACAAGCGCAAGGTCCCGAGTTCGATCCCTGATACAAAAAAAAAAGAATAAAAAGTTTACATGTTTTATTACCTCGAATCAATACATTTAGGGTGCTATTAGTATGAATGCTATAGACACACCCCGTTCAAACTAATACTATCTCTAAAAGGAGCATCCCAGGGTTATTTTGGAAGGGAAAAATGCCTTCCTTTTAAAAATGTTTTTAAATTTTATTTTTGAAATAGGGCCTTGCTATGTAGTCCAAGCTGGCCTCAAACTGGAGGTGATCTTCCTGCCTCAGCCTCCTGAATGCAAAGATAACAGGCATGCACCACCATGAAAAAAAAAAAAAAAATCCCTTCCTTTATTGCAACTTTTTTTTTTTTTTAATTTTATTTTTGGTATAGGGGATTGAACTCGGCAAGCAGAGGAACCACTGAGCTAAATCACTGGCCCTCAATTATTTTTTAAAAAGAAAAACATACTAGTTTCCTTAACATTTGTTACACAGAAAAGAAAGAACATGTTATGGTGACAGTATTTTCAATGTTTTCTCCCTTTATCCATAGTTACTGATACCAGTAGTTAACATTTTAGAAAGAATTAAATTATTTTTGAAGGACATTTGGTTTTCTAGCAAATGTGTACTGTTTAGTGCATTTTTTATTGTACACCGAATAATTGCCTTTCCAGATTCTTATTCTTAAAAGACTGCCATGCTACACACACACACAGACACACTACACACACACACACACACGTGTCACACTGTGTCTGTGTCCTGTGCTGAATCTGGAAGGAATTGCTAGGAATTTGCTAGCTCTCACTGTGTAGCCCAGGCTGGCCTCGAACTCTGCAATCCTCCTGCGTCGGCCTCCTCAGTGCTGGGATTACAGGCCTGCGCCACCACACCCGGCACAAATCTCCCTTTTGATTCCCTACCTTTCCCCACCCCTGTTCCCCAATGGCCCCTTGCAGGTCACCTGTGCCTGCTGCCCGGAGTTCTCAGAGTGCCCGACCCGCCTGGCTCCACTAAATTCTCGGTGCCCGCTGTTCATTTTCCATCTCTGCCCTGCGGTTTGGAACCCCTTCCAGTTCTATAAAATGCAATGTGTGTTCGCAAGCACAATGGCCGGAGCTCGATCCCCAGTACCAAAAAACCCCAGAAAACAAAACAAAAAGATGCCATGTGTGTTTCTGAAGCGTTTTTTTTTCCCCCTCATAATTTTTGGGTGATTTTTGAGAGTGGCAGGGGATCTTTGAGGGGAATATCTTGAATAGGAAGGAATTTGTGTTTTTGTTTTTAGTTCTTCAAATGCCTTGCATTCTTTACTGCCTTCCAGCTTTGCACTTGGCTCCAGCTCTGTTTTCGTTGTTGCTTTGGTTTTTTGAGACAGGTCTCACTATGGAGTTCAAGCCAGCCCTGAACTCAGTATGTAGCCCCAGTGGGCTTCAAATTGCAGTGATCCTCCTGCCTCAGCCTCCCAAGTGCTGGGATCACAGGCCCGTGACACCCTGCCTGGTGCCCTTTCTATTGCTGCTTGTTTCTCTACTGACATCCTCTCCACTGAAATGCGGCTCACCCTAATTGAGATGGCCTCGTATTAAGTGCAAGATGCATACTAGGTACCCAAGACTTACACGAATGACAATGTAAAATATTTCAGGGCCAGGGATTTAGCTCGGTGGTTCTGCCACCTGCCTCACAAGTGCAAGATCATGAGTTCAATCCCTGGTACAAAAAAAAAAGAATTGTAAAATATTTCATTAATAATTTTATATGGATTATGTGTTGCATTTATTTGGGGAAATAGTGGGACAAAATATGTCATTCAAATTAATTCCACTTGTTTCTTGTAACTTTTTTAGTGTAGCTACTCGGAAACTTTTCAAATTATAGACGTGATTCACTCATTGGCCATGTAAGGCTCCTCTCTTACCTTCACGGCCACTCGTAATCTTTTCCATCCCTTCCCCCGTCTCAGATTTTTAAAAAGAGGGAAGCGGGTGCTTGGGATGTAACTCCTGGGCCAGTCTGTGCTAGAGAAACAGACCTAACACCGGACAGATGTACAAATGCCAGGGTGCGGAATGTCAGGGGCACCTGATTTATTTTTTTATTTTTTGGTACCAGGGATTGAACTCGGATCTTTGCGCTTGGGAGGCGGCAGCGGAACCACTGAGCTAAATCCCCGGCGGTGGCACCCGATTTAGCAGAGGTTCTCTTAACAAAGTTCTCAGATTGACACAGTCACTTGGCCTTCACAGCCGGCTCAGTCCCGATACTCTTCCCCCGAAAGAGTTGAACTCTGCTCGACATGGTTATTTTGTTTTGCAGAGCCAGGAATCGAACCCAGGGCTTCATGCAGGTGGGGCAAGTGCTCTACTGCTGAGACAGGTCCCTAGCCCTGTGGCCAGGCTTTCCATGAAGACAATTAAACGCCCAGGAAGATAATGAAAGTCTTCAATTTTCCATCTCACTGCATGGATGCAGCAAAGTTAGGGGGAATTGGGTGGATAGAAGGCAACCTTCATCAGTGCAGTGGACCCTTGACTTACAGACTGAACTCACTCCTGAGGGCTGGTCGTGACTCAAGTCAACTGCAGGCTCAAGCTCCTCTACGCAGCCTTCAACGTCTCTCTCCTGTACACACGTAGAGCTCAGTATCCTTGGACAGACACTGGCCCGGGATTTCTCTCTCTTTTTCTTCTCGATACCTGGGATCGAACTCAGGACCTAGTACTCACAAGACAGGCACGGTGCCACTGAGCTAAGTCTCCGGCCAGCCCAGGATTTCTCAACCCCACAAAGGAAAGGAAGTTGTAATGTTCCTCCCAGAGCTCTTTAAGAGTTAAATCTGGGGCTGGGGATTTAGCTCAGTGACACAGCGCCTGCCTGGCTAACGCAAGGTCCTGAGTTGGATCCCTGGTATTGCAAAAAAAAAAAAAAAAAAAGTTAAATCTGTATCTGAGACCATCTGGAAGCACAAGCAGCCGGCATTCAGGTTGTAACTCAAGACTTTGGTTGTAAATTAGAACTAAAATTCTAGTCATAACCCAAGTTGTACATATTTCAGGCCGGTCGGAACTCAAGGGTCTACTTATCCGTAAATATAAAAATATTCTGGGTGTGAAATACATGTGAGGATATAGAACAAACAATGTATTATATCTCCATGCCTCCTAGTTTTGATCTGTTTTTCTTTTGGCTATACAAACCCCTCTCTCTCCCTCTCTTTCTGTCTGTCTCTCTGTCCCCCCACACCATACTGGGATTGAACGCAGAGCTTTCACACCAAGCTATATCCCCAGTCCTTTTCATATTTTACTTTTCAGACAAGCTCTCACTGAGTTGCCCAGGCTGAGCTTGACGTTGTGATCCTCCTGCCTCAGCCTCCCAGAATGCTGAAATCACAGGCGAGCATCACCGTGCCCAAATCTTACTGCTTTTCCTGTGTGGACCGATGTACACGCCTTCCCTGATGAAATGTGATGCTGAAGAGATGAAGAGGAACTAAGAGGGGAGGAAAATGTAGGCAACAAATCTGATGACCAAGAAACCAGAACAACGTGAAACTGAAAGGACCTTTGATATCACCCTGTTTGGTATTTAAACCCATAACCCATTTATTTGTGGAATAAAAGCAGCTGAAGGAGGGCTGGGCATGGTGGTGCATTCCTATAATCCCAGCACACGGGAGGCTGAGGCAGGAGGATCACCACCAGTTCAAGGCCAGTCTGAACTACACAGCAGATACTATCTCAAAAATAAATGAATAAAAAGAATGCAGCTGAAGGATCACTATTCATCTACCATCCAAATATTTACTAACAAATCAGGAACATTCTCTGAAAATATATTTTCCAACAGGGAAAAAACAAGAAGAAACTAAAGCAGCGTGGCATTGTTTATGACCCTAAAGAAGTTGTGATTCCCTCTGTCAAAGTAGCAAGTTGTTGCCATTTGCTGAAGGCAAAGTACAGACCTCAGAGGGCTGACATGGGCCGGCTTGTCTTCCCCAAGCCGCTTCCAGCCGTGACGGGGAGCCCAGGTAAGACCTGAGCATTAGACTAGAGTAAGTATGCCACACAGCACGCATTTTCTTGATATTGAGGACATAAAACCAGCAATTAAATACACGGCTTAAAAACTAACTGTAGGTGCACAATGGAAGCTCTATTCGTCCAAGTTCTTTTTTTTTTTTTTTTTGAGACAGGGTCTCACTTTGAAGTTCAGGCTGGTCCTGAACCCCATTATGTAGCTCAGGCTGGCCTGGAACTCACAGCGATCCTCCTGCCTCGGCCTCCTGAGTGCTGGGATTATGGGCATACGCCCGGCTTTCCATAAATGTTTGTCTTTAAACTTTACCTGGCAATTTCTGGATAATTCAGGGAGGGAACATTCACATTCGGTTCCTTCTTGATTTGGCCAACATAGGAGAGAACAGGGAGGAAAGTTAGATCTCTAAGTTTGATTTGCAATAATGTGATTCCTCCGTGTCCCAAATGTTGTGAAATTAAAGCCTTACCAAATTAAAGCTTTATGTTTTGTAGACGTTAAAAAGAGCATAGGTGGGCCAGAGATTTAGCTCAGTGGTTCTGCCACCTGCCTCACAAGCGAAAGGTCCTGAGTTCGACCCCTGGTACCAAAAAAAAAAAGAATGAATAAGTTGCACATATTATTAATAATTTTGTGTTGATTATATGTTACAATGATAATATTTTGGATCTATTTGCTTAAGTAAAACATATTACTAAAATGTAATTATACCTGATTTTACTACCATAAAACTTTAAATTACATACGTGGGGGCTGTAGCCCAGGGGGACAGTACGTCTGAGCATGTGTTATTCCTCTTGTTCTTTCTCTTCTCCTCCTCTTCTTCCTCCTTTTTGCTCTTTTCCAGGGCTCAGGCTTGAACCTGGGCCTTGGGCGTGCTCACAAATAGTCATTATGGCTTTTGAACTCTTTTCTATCAATGCAGATCACAATCCACTTTTGCACCCCAAGGAGGCTGGCACTGGCCAAAACCCTCACCAGGAGGAAATAATCCGGAAGTTGGCCACGCAGCTGAGACACATCGGGGACGGCATCCACCGCAGGACAACTCAGGTGAGGCTCGATTAGCACGGCGAGGCCCCACCAAGTCGGACAAAGAGTGAACCGGACCATGGCTGTCCATGGCCAGGAAGCCCAGGAACAGCCGGCACTGTGCATGAATAACGTCTGTGCCCTCCAACTCTAGACCTGCAGGCTGGGCGCCCAGCAGGGCCAGCCGTGGGTCTCACTGCTGCTTAGCTGTGTCCTGGCAGCTGGCTGGACACGCACCAGCGACTGATGAGGTCTGGCCCAACATGCATCCCCGCCCTGCGTGCATGGGGTGCAAGGAGCTGCTCCACACCCTCGGAGTAGGACGCATGTTGGGGCCACCTGGCAGCTTAAGGAATCACAGATCTCTGGGCCCAACATTGAGAAATTCGGATTTAATTGGCTTGGGGCGAGGCTGAGTGTGCAGCACTCCAAAAACTTCTCCATGCACTTACTGCTGGGGCCTGAGCTTGGGGTTGTCCTTAAACCAGCCAGGTTTTGATGTGCGCCCCACCCCTGCCAGTTGCTCAGTTTCTCCTGACTGTGTTAAGCATAACGAGGGGCGCCAGGGGAGACTGATGCTCACTGCTTGGAATCTCGGGGCGATGAAATCACAGCTGAGTTTTCCTCCAGCATGGCCTGTGGCAGGGCTGCGGTGGGAGGCCGACTGCCTTGCTCCTGGAGCTGTGATGGCTCCTGTGAATCACTGCCACCACCACAGGGCTGTCTTCAGGGAGTTCCTGGGTCCTCTTCTCCTCTGCTGGTTCCAAATGTGGACAGCACACAGCCATTCCCTCAAATCAAACATCCCTAGAGACAAAGCATAAATGAGAGGCCCCACCGAGGGTGCTGTAGAGACAAGAAGGAGACAAAGAAAAACACGGATAGTCAGACAACATGTGTGATAAACCAGTTTCATGTGAACAGGTGTTTATTGAGCGCCTACTGTATGCCAAGCTCAGTAGCAGTGAGCAGGACAGAAGAGGAGTCGCTGTTCCTCAAACTCAGAATTTAGGGTGAGCAGACGACAAGGCAGGTGAACAGGAAACAGTAGGGTCAGGTGAGGAGGTGGGCAGGATGTGGGGCACTGAGTGAAGTAGAGTCTATAGGACCAGCTGATGGCTGGGATGTGGGCAGGGAGAGAAAGAGTAGTCATGGAGGATGTCGTAGTCACTTCACTCGTGGTTGAGACACAACAGCTGCAATTTCAAGCAGGAGAGGTTTATCTTGGTGCACACTTAGAACATGGTCAGTAGCTCCAGAAAGAAACAGCATAGCAGGGTGACCTAGGAGGAAGACTGCTCCACATCATGGCAGCCAGGAAGGAGCGAGCCAAGGGAGGAGCCAGGAAGGGAGATAAACACTTCCGGGTCACGCCCACGGCCACTTTCCTGTCCGCCAGACCCCACCTCCTAACAGGAAGTCAGCTATAAACCCCATAATCCAGTCACCGTCCCAAAGCCTGGCCTAGGAGTGCATGAGACTCATGAGGGACATTTAGATATAAACCGTAACAGATGACTCCAGTGTTTTGGGACTGAGCATCTGAAGGGATGGTGCTCCTGTTTACTGAGAAGAAGGAAGATCTGGGGACAAGACAGGGCTGTACCTGATCTTGAAATTCCAGTTCGACAAATAAGTTGAGAAGTTGTGGGTTGTGTAGGAGTTGGAAGAACCAGTCTGGAGTTCAGGGTGTTGCAGGATGAGATAAGAATTTGGGTTTGTTTGTTTGTTGAGACAGGCTATAGCTATGTACGTAGCTCAGGCTGGTCTTGAGCTCACGATCATCCTGCCTCAGCCTCCTGAGTGCTAGAATTGCAGGCATGCACCATCACCCCCAGCTTAAGAATCTGGGTTTTAAGGTGTTTCCTTTTCTGTGGGTTCACAGGCTGTGTCAAGTCCTTGTTCTCAGGCTAACTTGATATAGAAGAAAACCCAAAGCTATATAATAATATTTACTGAGGGCTTGCTATTTGCTAGGGATCATGCACTAAGGATCTTAACTAGCGTTATTTTCTTTTTTTCTTTCTTTTTTTGGTTTTTTTGAGACAGGGTCTCAATATGTAGTTGAGTCTGATCTGGAACTCACCATGTAGCCCAGGCTGGTCTCGAACTCACAGTGATCCTCCTGCCTCAGCCTCCCGAGTGCTGGGATTACAGGAGGGCACAGCCATGCCCAGATAGTACCAGCATTATTTTTTTCATTCTTACAACCACTAATGCAGTTGGGATTATTCTTCCTGATTTTCATATGAGGAAGGCTGGTGCTCAGAGAGGCTGAGTAACTTATCCTAGGTTGCACAGACAGGAGGCTACTGAACCAGGACTCAAAGCCATGTTAGGCTTACTGCCAAATCTACCCACCCCTCTATGACTCCCAGACCCACCTCCAGCCACCTGGGCCCAAGAGCATGAACCCTAGAGAGAGGTGGGGTTACCCCCTCTGCCTCTGGAAGTTTTCCGCAGGGGACTCCTTTCAGCAGGCCTCCTCTTGCATGGGATGTGAAGGGGTTCTGGCCTAATATGCAAAAACTCCTGGGTTCAATCTCCAGTACCACAAAAGAAACCTCACTCGAAAGCCTGACCTACTGGCCTCCATGGACAGCCATAGCCGTATACCACCCTGGGAGTTTAACATACACCAGAGAAATACACACGCCCTACTCAGTGTCTGTTCAGCTATGGCGTAAGTTCAGTGTGCTGGTTTTAGAGTTGAGAGACCAGTTCCAAAGCCTGGCTCGCCACTTCTTTATTGTGTGACTTTGGAAGTTACTCAACCTCCCTGGGTCTCTTTATGATGTGAGGTGACAGCCAGGCGTGATGGCTCATTACCATAATCCCAGCACTCTGGGAGGCTGAAGCAGGAGGATTCAAGTTTGAGCCCAGCACAGGCAACTTCGTGATATAGCAAGACCCTGTCTCAAAATAAAAAGGGCTGGGGACGTAGCTCAGTGTAAAGGCCCTGGGTTCAATCCCCACTAGGCAATATATCTATAAATCAATATCAAATATGGTTGTTGAGAGAATCACAGGAGGCAATCTCTGTATGTAACTTAGAACAGAGGCTGGCTCACAGAAAATGATCACTAAATATAACCTTGACCAAAAATTCGATCTTTTCCTACTCCTGCCCTTTTAGTATCCAAAGCCTCTTGGCTGTGTCACGCGTCACTGCGCACGCGCGTGGTGGTTACCGAACCGCCAGCTTCTCTGTAGGAAAAGTTTCCATGCATGACCGCACTTCAGAAATTCTAGGCAGTCTTCACCTCTGCTTCTGTTCAGCTTTCTGAGTACTCGGGGCTCCCTCCATACCTGAAGAGGAGAGCTCGGCGCAGGGCAAAGCGGAACAAGCACTTCCGGTGCCGCCTCCGCCTGCCCGGAAGTGGCCCTCACATGACCTCTGGGTCTCTTCCTCCGCCTTCTCAGTCCCAGCTGCCGTCCCAGCCGTGCGTTTAACGCTTCCCGCTCGGTCTGTTGATGCCGAGCTCTCCCAGCTTTTCTTTCTTTCTGTAATGAACACCTTTACTGGGAAAGCATTGACCCACTCTACAATTCACCCGTTTAAAGTATACCGTTCGCTGGTTTTCCTTACAGTCACAGACTTGTACAGCCACGGGTATGGCCAACTTTAGGGCGTTTTTGTCACCCTAAAGAGAAACCCCAAACCTATTAGCAGTCGCTTCTCATTTCCGCTATGTTCCTCACCAATCCACGTCTTTTCTCAATGGATCTGCCTCTTTGGGGCATCTCATGTAAGTGGAACATAAGAAGGTGCCTTTTACAAGAGACCTCTTCCATTTAACATGCACCCCTTTCACGGCCCACTCATGTTGAAGCATGTACTTCCTATACTTTATTTATTTATTTTGAGGCAGAGTCTCACTATGTAGTTGAGACTGACCTGGAACTCACTATGTAGCCCAGGCTGGTTTCGAACTCACAGCGATCCTCCTGCCTCAGCCTCCCCAGTGCTGGGATTACAGGCGTGTGTCACCACGCCGGGCAGTAGCATGTACTTTCCTTCCTTCCTTTTCATAAGTGGATAATAATCTGCTGTTCATCTGTACCGCAGTGTATCTGTTCCTCAGTTACTGGTGTTTCCACTGTTTTTGGTGTTGGAAGTAATGAGGCTGTGAACATTTCCGCATCAGTTTTTGTGTAGGCAAATATCTCTGATGCCATTGGGCACAGACCTAGGAATGAACGTGCTGGCTCTTGCTCAATTCGATGTTTGCCTTTTTGCGAGTTTCCCAAAGTTTCACGCTTTCAAAGTGGCTTTCCCATTTCAGCTGGTGGCCCGCTCACAGTGTGCGAGGGTCCAGTCTTTCCATATCCTTGCCAGCGTTTTGTCACTGTCTCTGGGATGGCAGCCGTCCTGCTGGGTGTGACATGGTGTCTTATTATGGGCTGTCACGATTCCTGAGGTACCCACTTCTTGTCACGAGCTTATCAGTCATTTGTTTATCCTGTCTATTCAGACCCTTTGCCTATTTTTTTTTTTTTTTTTTGGTCCTAGGGATCAAACTTGGGCCCTCGGGCTTGCGAGGCAGTTGCCGGAACCACTGAGCTAAATCCCTGGCCCTTTGCCTATGTTTAATTGGGTTATTTGTGGTTTTTTGTTTCATTGTATTTTTTGTTTGTTTGTTTTTGCTTTTGAGACAAGGTCTCACTACATAGTTTAAGCTGGACTTGAACTCACTAGTAGCCCAGGCTGGCCTCAAACTTGCAGCCGTCCTCCTGCCTCAGCCTCCCAAGTGCTGGGACTATAGGCAGGCGCCACCATGCCAGGCTCTGTCTTCATTTTTTTTTTTGCATGTGGGTTTCCAGTTGTCCCAGAAACATTTGTTGAAAGAACTACTCTTGCCCTGTTGAACTATCCTTGCTGACATGTGGTGATTTACTTCTGGATTCTATATATCTATCCTTATGTCCACACTAGCTTTCTTTGCAGCTGGATTTACGTAAACTATGAACTGTATCTTCCTTTATACTATAGAATTGCATTTTAAAACACTTTTGAATCACAGTATGTCTAATTTTTTTTTTCATTTGTCCTAAGTTCTGCTCTAAGACATTAAAGCCTTCGCTACTTCAAAGCAAACTTCAGTCGAGCAAGTTTCACAGAATCCCAGATGTGGCAGAGAAAATTTTCCCACAGATGGTCATCGTTTATTTGCCACCTGTGCTCTGTTAAACCCGGTGGCCACGCGGGCCCCAGATGCCTTCCTGTGACGGCCGTAGCTGGGCTCTGTTACCCACTGTTGGGACCTCCAGTGAGGCGCGCACCAGGCTACCCTGCCGCCTGCGGACTGACTGTTCTGTTCTTGCTCTGCCCACATTTCTTACTCTCTTATTCTTTTCACTTAAGCGAGTGTTGTGTTTTCAAAAGGGATCTGTGCTTCTCAAAAGAGCACCTATTTTACCCCTTAGCTGTGCGGGGTATGTGTGAAATGCTTGTTTTTCTTGTTGCTGTTTTGTAAAAATCTGGGACACTATGTCTCTAGATAAAAAGTGTGTTTTCATATAACACACCTTCAGCTTCCAATTGCTTTTAGGGTTTCTGCTTTTTGGTTTTTGGTTTGTTTTTTTAGTCGGGGTCTCGCTATGTCGTTCTGGCTGGCCTTGAACTCAGTATGTAGCCCAGGCCAGCCTCAAAGTTTTCACCAATCCTCCTGCTTCAGCCTTCAGAGTGGCTTTTACAATCTTCAATGTGCCTCTGCACTTCTATTCCATAGGACTCTATCCTGCGTTCTGGGAACAGTGCCTTCCTGGCTCTCCCTTTGCAGGTAGTCTGTTTACTAACCCTCCTGGAAGTAACCTGATTTGGGTTTTGTACTGTTTCTTCTGGGACCCTGAAAGAGCCAGTCATGCACAGGGAAATTCTTAGTTTGTTTGATTTTTTTTTTTTTTTTTTTTTTTTTTTTTTGTACTGGGGATCGAACTCAGGACGTGTGCTTGTGGGGCAGGTGGAGTGCCACTGAGCTACATCCCTGGCCCTGGGAAATTCTTAGTTTGTTAGAAAGAGGAATAGAAACTTAACATTTCTTTAAAAAAAAAGAAAGAAAGAAAAGAAACTAACATTTCTTGAACAATTTCTTCCAGATACTCTTTGAGACCCTTCCACATGTTGCACTTAATTACTGCAACTGTCCTACAACTTACAGTCACACAGGACAAGCACTCGGGTTTCAGAGAAGTGCGTAACCTCCTTAAGGTCACTCAGTGTCTGGGTTGCAAATTATGAGCCTCTGATCCAGTTTCTGTACTTTTTCTAACCTACTCCTCTGGAAGGAAGTGCATCTGATTTTCCTGACCTCATATCGCTATGAGAAGGGGAAATATCCCTTCGTGGTTTCCAGTTAATGGTAGAACAGTGTCTACATTCCTTATCCTGCTGCTACTGGTTTCTCATTCATTCGTTCATTTATTCAACTAATATTTAGTGAGCACCTGTTATGTGCCCCAAGCACACTCACTTATTTTTTTGCGACCAGGAAAGTGGCTGGGAAGCCACTAGAGGCCAGAGGATGGGTTATCAGCCCTGGAAACACAGCATCAATTTCCTGATAGCCAATATGGAAAAGCTGGGCACACACCAGTGATCCCTGCAGTTTGGGAGGCTGAGGCAGGAGGATCACAAGTTTGAGGAGTCCAATCTGGGCTATTGAGCAACTTCATAAGACCCTGTCTCAAAAAGAGAAAGAAAGAATGGGGGGGGGAGAAAAGAAAACTAAAAAAAAAAAGAGCCGAGGGTGTAGCTCGGTGCAAAGGCCCTGGATTCAGCCGCCAGTCAGAGGGGGCTGGGGAGAGGGCAGGTGCACCAGGAAACTCCCAAGATGACAGGGAGGATCTGGATATATGGGCCAGACCTAGCTACTTGGTTTCAACTCATGCAATTCTTTTTTTTTGTACCAGGGATCAAACTCAGGACCTTGCGCTTGCGAGGCACGTGTGGTGCCACTGAACTAAATCCCCAGCCCTCGTGCATTCTTAAATTGTTTGTTTGCAATATGGATTAAACCAATATTTTCTAGTGCATCCAATTTTGAACTTTGGACTATCCTAATGCTCTTTTTTTGGCAACCCCTCTCTCTGTTTCTCTTCTGTGACCAGGATCTTCTGCAGGAAGGCAGAGACGCACTGGCTCAGTTGGTCTTGTTTGTCTTTGGAAGAGTCGAGGTGACGCTGCGCCTCTTCTGGAATCACCACTTGCTGTAGAAGGGACACCAACGTGGCGCCCTGATTCCCTCTTCCCGTGAGAGCCGAGTCCTGCCGGGAGGGCCACAGGCTGCCTGGCCGCCGTCTTTCCCTGGGGGCAACGAGCTATGTGCTAACCTCACCCTCCAGCCAGTGGCCGCGCAGGGCCATCTGCTCTGTCATTTCCGCACCAGCACGGCCGCCGGGGCTTCCAGACCCACATCTCCGCTCCTCCCTCCTGCTCCCGGGTCCCCTCTTCCTCTGTGACCCCTCCATTTCCTCACTGACTGCTCTGACTTTGCCCTGCCCAGGGCATCTTGCTCTGCCGCCGACCCAGCAGGAGCGCGAGTCCTTGGCCTGCAGCCCTGCCCTCCCGAGCGCGGCCCAGAGTGAGTTCCGAACTCGGCTCTGACCGAGTGGCTCACGGATGGATCGGGCCCTGTGCTGGCTGACTTGGTTCACTCATTCTGTGCTGCTAAACTTCATCTTTCTCTTTCATGTTTTAAAAAAGTATCCGTCTCATAGCCTCCCAGCCTTTGTTAAAAGAATCATAAGTATTAAGAATGCTGTTATAAATTAAAAGTTCTCTGTGTGCATCTTGAGTTCTTCATAGGAAAACTGTTATAAAAAAAAAAAAACTACTTGAAAGGGCTGGGGATTAGTTCCACGGTGCGGCCACCTGCCTGGTTAAGCACAAGGTCCTGAGTTTGATCCCTGGTACCCCCCCCTAGAAAAACCAATTTAAAAATGAAATAAACACTGTTTTACTGAGCATGAAAACTGTGTGTTTGTCTTTTGTGGAGGAGGGGAGCCACGTATCCTACTCATACAGGTGTACAATTTTGTAAATACTGTGTTTCGTTTGTCCTTCCAAGGGGAAATGTCCCTGTTTTGTTTTGTTTTGTTTTTTAAGTCTGTCTCAGGCAAACTCCAACTATTTTGATCAGTTTAGGGTATGGCCAGCCGGCATGGAACAGATTCTGCTACTTCTTTTTCATTTATCTTAAAAATCCTTTTGAATCTGTATTTATTCATATAGTTCAAAAATCAAAACAATATAAAGTGGTTCAGAGTAAAAACTCTTGCTCTCTCTCTTTTTTAACTTCTCGAGAAAGGATCTCTCTATGGAGCTCAAGCTTTTCAGACAGCCAGGGTGATGTCAGCCGCGTCTTCCCAGTCCTGGAAACTCAGTTTCCTTCCCTGGGCAACCCTACCGGCCTCAGTGGGAGGGTGAGCAGTGTTTCTCGGCTTTGGGAGGTGCCACACCCTCCCTCCCTTCCTGTGGCCAGACTGGGTGTACAGAGCAGTAGCAGGACAGTGGTGACGCCCAGAGCTGAGGGAGAGGTGGGAGGCGGGCTGGGAAGCAGGAGTGGGATCCTTGGGGTTCGGCCCCCCAGGGACAGAGGTTCCCAGCTCAAAGTCCCGCTCTGGCCCGTGACCGCCAGGGGGCGCTCGGGCCCGGGTCTGTCCCGCGGGGCAGGGACTTGCAGGACCCCGCGAGGTCCCAGGAGAGCAGCCCGGGAAGCAACGCGGCGGAGATTTTGAGAGCAGGGGTGAGAGGGTCCCCGTCACGGCCTCACTCAGCGGCAGAGCAGCCGAGCTTAGTGAGGCCCACAGCTGCGGCGCGAGGTGGCCACACTGGGCTCGAACCCGCGACCTTGGGGGTCTCGCGGCCCAGCTCCAAACTTCCCACTTGCGCTGCGGAGGACTCGGAGTGGACGTCGGGGAGGAGCTGGCTCGGCTGCGGGGCGCTCGCTCAGAATCAGTGCAGTCCAGCGCGCCTTTCATCTTTATAAGACCCACGAGTCCCGGCCCAGTGGACCCTCCTCCCCTTAGAGCTCTGATTTTCTATCTCTCTTTCCACCTTTCTAGCCTTTAACCCGTGCTTCTGTGTGGAGCTGGCTTCGTAGATGGTGGAAGGTGAGTCCACGTTATGTATCATTTAGGTGCTTTTTCTAGGTAGGGAGCCCTTGGCACCTCCACCGGGTTTTAGACCAGCTCTTCCTCCTGCGAGGCCTCCTGTGCTCACAGGCGGGGCTTCATCTGCGCTGGATCTGGGCTGTGGGTGCTGGGATGAGAGCGCCTGGCGCTGGGTAGATGGCGAGTAGCCTGGAAGGGGCCAAGGGAGGGCAGGCTGCTGCTTGGCTGCCCTCTGCTGCCCGGGCTGTTTCTCCTCTGCTGTGCCGCCCTGCCCTGGAGCCAGCCAGTTATAGGCTGAAACTTCTGTCAGCTGTGAGCTACAGTAAACCTTTCCTTCTTTAACTTTGGGGGTCAGGAATTTTGTCTTGCAACAAGAAAAGTAACTAAGACACTCACTGAATTAAAATCGTACTTCTTCTGAGCCTTCTGCTGCCTGTAATCTCAGCACTCTGGGAGGCTGAGGCAGGAGGATCCCATGTCTGAGCCCAGTCTGGGGCTTTGTACTGATTTTGCAAGATAGTGGAGAGAGAGAGAGAGAGAGAGAAAGAGGCACCTCCCCACCTTGATTGCTCCTGGAGGAAGGGTCTTCTCACTCCCACCCTCAGCCACGTCCTTGCTTTCTGCCTCTGACCAGCTGTCCGGCCGTCACCAGGCCGCTCTTGGGAGCAGGTCCCCCATCCAGTGTCACCCGGCTGGTTCCAGAACTGACAGGTGCCTGGCACGCGGCTGCCCTTCTCTGGTTACCGGTAGTATGAATGAGCCAGTGACTGTTTCTCTCGTGTCTTTCGGGGACAAGATGGAGGTGGGTTGGTTTTTGTCACTGCCAAAGTATGGTCTTGGATAATTCTCTCTTTTGCTTCAGTTTAAAAAAAATTTTTCCTTGGTGTTTTGAGACAGGGTCTTGCTATGAAGTTCAGGCTGGCCCTGAACTCATAGAGATCCTCCTGCCTCAGCTTCCCAAGTGCTGGGATCACAGACATGCACGACCACACCCAGCATTGCTTCAGTGATTGTTTTATTTTGTTTTTCGGGTGCTAAGGCTGGAACCTAGGTCCTTGTGTACATTGGCAATCTTTGTCCTCCTCAGCCACACCCCCAGCCCCATTTCTACCTGTGAAACGAACCCACGGAGCTCTGATCTTTATGTCATGCAGCCATCAAGTGGAATTTTTTGTTTGTTTTTTGAGACAGGGTCTCGCTGTGTAGTTGAGACTGACCTGGAACTCACTATGTATCCCAGGCTGGTTTTGAACTCACAGCGATCCTCCTGCCTCTGCCTCCCGAGCGCTGGGATTACAGGCGTGCGCCACCACGCCTGGCTTTTTTCTTTCTTTTTTTTTTTTTTTTTTTCTTTTTGAGATGGTTCCAGGCCGGGCTGAGCCTCGTGCTGCCTCTGTGACCTCTGATTCCCGACTTGGAAAAAGCCCTAACAACAGCAGCTCTTCATAGAGTCGCGTGGCCATCCAAGCATCAACACGCATTTCCGGAGCACCTACTATGCTCCAGGTGCTGTTCTGGGTGCTCCTGGGCCCCAACGCCCTTGTTCAGAACCCAGAAACATCGAAAAAGGGGCAGGGAGGGGCAGGGGGCCGCTGCTGGGAGGAGGCGGCCTGGCTGGGGGGGCGCGGGCCGTGACCAAGTCGCTGTCCCC